TATTGAAATAAAAATAAGTCATACACATTATAAAAAAAAAAAAAAAAAAGGAAAGAAAGAAATACTACATCAATTGCCACCAACTCCTCACATATCATTCACCAGACAAGCCCAAAGGAAGCAACCAAATTTGACTCTGAGGTAATCAGCCTGACACTCCAAACCAGTGAGTCTGAGAGTCTGATCTCTGTGAAAACAGAACAATCATAAAGCAGTATTCTTGCTAGCAAAGTCAAGGAAGTTTTATTTCTTGATTTTGTTGTTATTTGTTTGTTTTGGGGGCAGTTGGGAGGGGTGTTTGTTTTGGAGACTAGATCTCAGGTAGCCTGGGCTGGCTTCAACCCCAGTGTAGCTGAGGATGACCTTGAACTTCTGACCCTCCTGACTTCACCTCTTGAGTGCTGGAGCTATAGATAGGCACACACCTGATCTAACCTACAGTCCAGGGCCTCAAGTAAAATTCTACCAACTAAACTACATCCTCAGCCTGCCTCAAATGGATTCTTTTATTTTTGCTTTTTGGGTTTCTGTTACTGTTGTTTTTGAGACAGGGACTCACTCTGTAGCCCTGGCTGGCCTGGAATTCACAAAGATCTGTCTGCCTCCTGAGTGCTGAGATTATGGGTGTGCACCTCCATGGCCCACTGGATTTTTAGATTTTTTAAAATTAGATTTGTTTGTTTGTTTGGTGTGTGTGTGTGTGTGTGTGCGCGCGCGCGCGCGCGCGTGTGTGCGTATGTGTGTGTGTGTGTGTGTGTGTGTGTGTGTGTGTGTGTGTGTGTGCGCGTGTGTGCGTGTCACCATGGCCAGCATGTGGAGATCAGAGATCTTTCCTTCTACCATGTGGGTGCCAGGAATAGAACTCGGGTCATCAGACTCGTTAGCTAGCACCTTTACCTGCTGAGTCATCTCAACACCCTCAACTGGAATTTTAATAACAGATTTTTTTCTACTCCACCTGAATTTATAGTTCAAGGAAACTACACAGATTATCAAATTCCTTACCCACTGCATAAAATAGTCTACTTAGTGTTTTTCCTTTCTGTTTTAAACAGATGCCGTTTAAACACAGGGTTGGCTTTGCTGTTTTTGCTTTGGTTTTATTTCCCCTCTACACACTTCTATTTCCTCACACAGACTCAACTAGTGTATCTATCTGAACAATCTATTTGTTTTCCCTATATTTATGTTTAATATATGTCTAGCTCTGACCTCTCTCTTGAACTGCAAACCTACATTTCCAAAAGCCTCTAAGCAGTCCCAGCAGGTAAGTATGTTAAAATCAGGCAAGCCAGGCCTGGGAGCACACACTGGGAATCTCAGCTTCTCTGGAGATAAAGGCAGGGCTATGAATGTGGGGCTTTACCCCATCTTAAAACAATGAAACCTAATTACACAACTCATTGCTCATATCCCTAGGAACAGGACCACCATCAATATGATCCAGTTAGAAAGTGTAACTTTCACTTGCGGCCTCCTCTAACCTTTCCTACCAGGACCCCTACCACCTACTGATCAGTGCTAGGCTCTGCTGAACCTTTGTTCTCATCCACCACCATCACTCCCAGTATGCACAGCAGTGCATTAGTAGCTTGCCATAATACATCATTCTGCACACTAAACTATCACAGGTACACACTTTTCGTTTTCTTCCAAATGCTGAACTTCTAAATACAGCATCTAAACATGCTCCACAATCCAGCCTCAACTTAAATTCAGACTTCATCTCTAATTCCAAAATAAACCATCCAGGTCATCTTTTCTCTACATCCATACCAACTTTTCTCTACATCATGAGCCTTCTCATCTCCAAAACTGTCATTCTCTTAATTTGGAAGGCCTTCTTTATCCACCAGATCCTAACTCCTGAATGTTTGTTTTAGAAGAGTTTAACCATCAGTCACCAAATAATTTAAGACTGCCAGTTTAAGAGCAGGGTACAGTGGAACATGCCTGTAATCCCAAACACAGAGGTGGAGACTTTGGATCAGAAGTTCAAGGTCATACTTAACTGCAAAGTGAGCCTTAGGCCTACTTAAGACACAGGAGATCCTGTCTCAAAAATTAAATCAAATAAATAAAAATAATACAAGTTTATTGGGAAGTACCAACTTTCCCACATGGCAGATCTGGCTTCAGATAGAGACAATTATGCTAGCCACACAACTCTAAGGGAAGTTACTGAGCATACTGAGACTCAGTATCCAGACTATGAGAGACGCCTACACAGTGAGACCCTGTCGGCACAGAAAGAAGCTGCTCTCCTGCTGAGACAGCATAGCAGTGATAGAACTAAGTGCCTAATAAATAATAGCACTGACTACCCTTGAGTGTTAGCATGTCTCTACAGTTTTCCATGATGCTTTAAGCTAAAACAAACATTTTTCCTTTTGTACAACCCCAAACTTTAGATAAACCCACTCACATGGTTAAGTATTTGCACACATCTTTCTGTCTTCAGAGGGTCTTCATTTGTTGTGAGCAGGGTCGCTCTGCCTAGCAGCTACCATCATCTCCCTCTGCTTCCTTTGCCTCCCCACAAGCACGCCACCACATCCAGCCAGACATTCGTCTACACTATGAACTGTCGAACAAAAACCTTACATCTCCTACTAGACCCAACTTCTAAAGACCAACCTTAATCTCTGTGACTTAGAGTGCCTGGCACAGTATTTTTCACGAAGCACTCAACACCTCCCTCTAAATTAAGTCCCAATTCAAAGGAGATTTAGTATTCCTAGACAGTGCAATTCAGTTCTTCATGATTTCAACACACCTTGGAAAATTATCAAAACATGAGTCTTAAGTCATAATGGTTTTGCCTTGATTTGTCCCTACATGGTTCCCTAAAAGAGCCTGACACAGAAAATGCTCGGTACCATTTGAATTGACTTGAGCAACAGTTAAAGGTTACAGTGCCTGAAAGCATCTGATTTTCACCAATTTCCTTTTTTGGCTTTTATAACTCCCATAATTTTCCCCTTTAAAATACATCGCACCCAAGTACAAATCCATAACCAAATCTAACTTGACTCATTTTCCAGACTCTAATTGCAACATCCCAATCCTAGGCTCTGAATAATCGAGTACTTCCAACGTAGGTATACAAGAAGGCACCGTTTCTATCCAAATCTAAACACTGTGCAACTTAGCTTTACTCACATTTTCCCTACACACTTAAAAAACACACCCCCCTCTATCTGTTTAATATCAATAACCTTGGCATAGATTTGGGGAGCTGGAGAGATGGCTTACAGGTAAAGGACCTGAACTGGGATCCACAGCACCCTCATAAAAACCAAGTCCTGCAGCATGTCTGTAATCCTTGGACGGAGATTGGGGGACACCGAGAAAACACAGGAGGACCCCTGGGACTTGCTGGCCAGGCAGCCCAGCCAAAACTCCAAGCTCCAGGCTCAGAGACACCCTGTCTCAAAATAATAATAATAACAATAACAACAACAATAATAATAAAAGCAAAGAGAAATATAAGAAGACACCCAACATGAACATCTGGCATTACACAGAGAAACTGTTTTAGTGAAATAATTTTTCTTTTGCATGTTCATGGTACTAGTCACTTCAAACTATTCCCCTTATTCATGTTATTACCTTTCCTTTCCGGTGGTAGAGAATGACATAAATATAAGAAAGAGAGAGAGACAGACAAGACAAAAACAATCAGTATAGATCCTAATCTAAGCATAAGAGAAGAGCCGATGTCACTGGTTTGATGAAAATGACTTACATATACTTGACACTGAAGCAACACACGTCATTTGCAACAAATGAACTTTCTGATTATAATTTAAAACGTAATGAAAATGCAAAATATCTCCAGTATTTCCTACAAACCTTTCACCGGCAGTTTAATCACCTAAACTCCGTTTACTAACAGTACCTACAAGATTTTCTTCTCTAGGAAATTCATAGTTTATTCGAGCTAAACCCTTCGTACGTTTAAATCAACACACACACACACACACCTCTGGCCAGCTGTGGGAACCTCCGCCGCGTTGCAACAACAGCTGGACTATACAAAGAACCTCTGAGGAGAAACTGAGGATTTTTTTTTTTTTTAAGATCAAGAAATGACAGTTCCAAGTATGAAAGTAAACAAATCTGGGGTAGAAAAGGATACCATTCTCCAGCTCTCTGCAGTCAACTTGTGCAACGTCCCGACTGAACTCTTACAACTGTGACTTCGGTTGAGCACAGGAATTCGTAAAACTGATTAAGAGAATCAGCACCTTTTTTTTTTTTTTTAACGTCAGCAAGAAAACGGGAAAAACTCATCTGAGTCTACGACTCTCCTCCAATCTTTGTTTTATAAGAAGCGACTTTCAACAGTTTCAGCTTTCAAGTTGAGTCAAGACCCTCCGAGGAACGCTCCTGCTCAGTGACCCTACGCAGACATCCAGACCCAGGCAGTTTCAAGCCGAGTCCAAATCGAACCCAGGCGACCCTGACGCAGATCGGGGATGAAAAGCCCCGCACAAGATCGCCAGCATCCACACAGGCATCGCCCCACCCTGGGACTGAGACTACACCCCTGGGACACAGGATAATTGCTGAGCCGGGAGGGGGGACAGACCCAAGAGGCGACGAAAGTCGGGCACTGATGTCCAGTGCGCTCTGGCGGTCCCGGCTTCCCCGGAGCCCGGGCGCACAGACCCCCCACCGCGGAGGGCGCCGAGCCCATTTGCCCGAGCAGAGAGAGAGAGAGAGAGGGGGTCGCAGCGCGGGCGGCCCGGCCCCGCTCCACCGGAGTCCCCCTCCGCGGTCGCCGCTCCGGGAACCCGCTCCTGCCGCGCCGCGCCCCGCCCACTCCGCGGCCCCGCAGCGCGCCTCTTTCCCGGCCCCGGCGGGCCGCGCGCGCTCCCCGGCTGCTCGACGACCCCCTTCCCCGGACCCCGACAGCTGAACCTGCAGCGGGACAGCGGGGTCCGAGGGCGCCCGCCCGGCGCAGGCCGGCTCACAGCTTTGCCCCGGCTACTCACCGTCGGCGCCAGGGCGCTGCGAGGGCGCTGCGAGGGCGCGCGGGGCGGCGGCCGCGGAGCTCCGCACTCTCTCCGCGCGACCCGACCCCCCGCGACTCCGGAGCCGACGGAGCTTCGGCGGCCGTGTCTACAAGGCCTCTCTCCTGCCCGAAGCCTAGACAAGCACTTCCGGGGGAGCGGGGGGGAGGGCGGGGTTTTGGCACCGGAACTGCTCCCGGGCTGGAGCTGCCAGGCCTCCCGGGCGGGGCGGAGCCTCGGAGCCTGGCGCCCCGCGGCCCCGCCCCCGGGCTCCTTGCTAACCCTTGGTGGCCCCGCGGCCCCCAGGCTGTTAGGGTTGTTCCCCACCAGCCACCTAATTCTAGGGAAGGCTCGGAGAATCTGGTTTAGCCGAGCCCCAGTGCAGTCACCCGGCTGGCCGACTGTCCGGGCGCTGTTAGCCCCGCTGGCTTCTGTCTCGCTTAAAAGGGCAGTTGACATTCATCAAGGCTCAGATGGTGTGTTTTAATGCGCCTCGGCCGCGTTAACTAGTTTAATAACCTTCAGACTCCGGGAAACCGGTGCTCTTCTCTACATCTTACGGAGAAGGAAACCGGCCAGGTACCAAACTTGACCACAGATGCTGGCTCTTGGTTTTATTTCAGTGTGTGGTATGTGTAGAACTCTCATCCGCCCCCAAACAAGACTTTTCAAATGATTCAAAGGCAGGAGCCAAACTCGATTCCCCTGTATCGGTCATCCTTTGCACCTTCAATGAAGGCCGAGATAAGGGGCTCTGGAATGTTAGTGCCTGGATCCTGTTATTTTACTTTTCACCTTGATGAGTTAGTTAACCTTTTAAAACTATGTGTGTGTGTGTGTGTGCGTGTGTGTTGTTCATCTCTGGATTGTAGAAGAGTTAGTTAACCTTTTTAAACGTGTGTGTGTGTGTGTGTGTGTGTGTGTGTGTGTGTGTAGTGTTCATCTCTGGCTTGTAGAAGTTAAAAATAATTAATGCATGGTAAACATTTCAGAGTACCTAGGACTAAGTCCACGATTCTCACACCTAACCAGTAACAGACACTAGAGAAGATCTGGGATTTTGAAGCTCTGACCAAAGACAGTATGAGAGAGAACCCACAGAGTCAGACGCCAGGAGAGGGAAAGAGGGACGATCTTAAAAGATTTCCTTGGCCACAAAATCAGAAAAGCATCAAATAGTGGAGGCAGGTTTTCTGTCTGAAGCTAGATCCCACAGGAAGGAAAAAAAGAAAGAAAAAGGGGCTCAAGCCTAGTGAGATACCTTGTATTTGTATTCGCTGTAGTCTAAGAGATACCTTGTGTCTGTATTCCCTGTAGTCTAAGAGATAACTTGTGTCTGTATTCCCTGTAGTCTAAGAGATACCTTGTGTCCATATTCCCTGTAGTCTAAGAGATATTTTGTGTCTGTATTCGCTGTAGTCTAAGAGATACCTTGTGTCTGTATTCGCTGTAGTCTAAGAGATACCTTGTGTCTGTATTCAGGCAGTCTAAAGGATGAGGCAGGAATACAGAGTATGGGACCAGTGTAGGCTTTATAATGAGTTCCAAAACCAGCCAGGACTATGTAGCAAGAGTCTTGTCAGAGAGAGAGAGACAGAGACAGAGAGGGGGGGGAGGGAGGGAGGGAGGGAGAGAGAGAGAGAGAGAGAGAGAGAGAGAGAGAGAGAGAGAGAGAGAGAGAGAGAGAGAGAGAGAGAGAGAGAGAAGACTAAGAATTCATAGTCTGTTAAGTACTTCAGGGAAGAGTCTTAAAACAGAAAGACAGGGTAAAAGAAAACCCCTTATTACAAACTTAAGATGCAAACAATCCCATCACAAGTGCTGTATTTAAAATACTGCCTTGTGTTTTATGTAATTGCAGAAATGTTTGTAAATGCTTCCATAATTCCCAAGTTCAAGCAGCCTTCCATGCCTCCTAGTAGAGTGAAGCAAAAAACAGAGCCTAAGCCAGGCGATGGTGGTGCACCCCTTCAATCCCAGCACTTGGGAGGCAGAGCCAGGCGGATCTCTGTGAGTTCCAGGCCAGCCCGGGCTACCGAGTGAGTTCCAGGACAGGCGCAAAGCTATGCAGAGAAACCCTGTCTCGAAAAACAAAAACAAAAACAAACAAAAAACAGCCTGCATGGATAAAACTTAAATTGTCTCCAGCCATTACCATCCCCACCCCACCCCCAATCCCAGGCGCGCACACACACACACACACACACACATGCCCCAAGGCCTAGAGACCTAAAGGGAGGAATCCTCAATCACAGACTCTCAACTAACTGGTAAGCGCTGTAGCCTGGATTTAAAAGTGAATCTGTATTCTCGAGCTTTTCACCGCCTTGCCAAGCAGTTCTTAAGCGTGAAAGTGCATGGCCGTCAGCTGGAGGGCTTGTTAAAGGAATTGCTGGCCCCGTCCCCAACCTTTCACTCACCCAGGATAGTGCTTCTCAAGGTGTGTGCGGGTCTAGCCGCTCAGCATCACCTGCGGACTTGTTAAAGATGCAAATTACCAAGCCCCGCCCCAGACCTCGTAAAGCTGTAACTTTAGGATAAGACCTGACGATCTTTGTTTGGAGTACCCCGCCTCCCCAACCAGGGCATTCCGATAAGCCCTCCAGTTAAAGAACTGCAGTACTCTAGAAGCCTGCCTTTCACGTATTCTTTGTTTAATTCTTTGGTAAATCTACAGCATGGGATTGTTTTGTTGTTGGGAGGAGAGGATTAGTATTTGTTTTGTAGTGATGAGGATTGAAGTGTGTCTCTCAGCCCATTGGAAACAAATGCCACTGAGCTACATTCCTAGTCAGCAAAAAAAAAAAAAAAAAAAAGTCTTCCCGTTAATTAAATGACATTTTGGAACATTTCTTATTCATTTTTTTTTCTCTCGACAAGAGATGAGGTCGGGGAAAATGAGTTTTAATGGAGGATTCCTTTTGATCTGTACTGAAATTGAACCAGATAATTCTGGGTTGCGGGGTTGGAAACAAATCTTACTTGAGGACTGCTCGGTGTTGAGGCTTTACCTGCATTTTCTAAATTAATCTTCACTGTGCTGTGGGGTTTTTACGGTCTTACTTTTACAAATGAGACTAGCTGAGACTGAGGTGAAGCAATTGACTTAAGGCCACATTCTTGTTACGGGGTCGAAACAGGATTGCTCAAAGATCCCTCTAATTCCAAAGCGCATGCTCTTTCCATTTTGTGGCTGGAGCCCGGGAGAACCAAATTCCAGTGGCTCCCGCCACCCCAGCTATGCAGCGTTGAGTAAGCGATTTCATCTCTATTTCCAATTTCTCCGTCTATAAATAATGTTATCGTAAATCTGCCCTTCCCACAGTAGAATGTCAAAGTAAATGAGGAAATAAAAGTGCTTTTAGCTCTTTGGAGAAAAACAGTAAAAAGACTCTAACAAGTTATGGTCTTGTGCGTTTAGACACGCATCGCGTTTGTGAGCCTAGGCATTGAGGTTTTTGCTGCTTCTTCCCTTGGTTCATATAGAAGAGTGCCCCACCCCCCAAAAAAAATAGTTGTTTAAATTCATTTGCCAGAGTCTCCTCTCCTAAAGGATAAAGAAGGTGACAGAGGATCTTTTGTTGTTGTTGTTTTGGGTTTGGTTTAGGTTTTTCCCGAGGCAGGGTTTCTCTACGTAGCCTCGGCTGTCCTCGGCTGTCCTGGAACTCGCTCTGTAGATTAGGCTGGCCTCGAACTCACAGAGATCCTCCTGCCTCTGCCTCCCGAGTGCTGGGATTAAAGGCACATGCCACCACCACCCGGCGACAGAGGATCTTCTGTGTGTGTTTTTAAAACTACACAGAGGACAGGGCACAGAAGTTCACACATGTGCTTGGAATCCAGTGTCTTCTAGCAAGTGGAGGCAGTTACAAGTTTGAAGACAGCCTGACCTATATAGTGAGCCCCTGACTAAAAATCAAGGACCTGGGGTATGGCTCAATGACAGTGTGCTTAACATGCCCAAGACCCTGGGTTTTATCCCCTGCCACCCTGCCAAATGTGTCATTTAAATGACAGGAATTTCTTACAAGGTTTACAGATTCCGCTCTGTTACCAAATGCTAGCCCACCCTCATTCAAAAAGCACTTTTAATCTAAACCATTTTTTCTCCTTTCCATTCCAAGCACCCCTCCACCCTCCTGCCTCCACCTCCCCCCCAGGAAGACTTAAAATTCCTGTTATTTTATTATGTGGGAGGATTTAGTGCTTAATCTTTATCTCAGGCCAGACTCCAGGCCATCTTTACGAACTTAATAGCCAGGTTCCGCCATCCCAGGAGGTGCTGTTCACAAAGAATACAGCATGAACGTTGCTCCAGGGGGTACCAGTCACACAGACCCCATGCCTCGAGGAACTCTGCAAGGCAAGGCCCCTGCCTCTGCTAAGCGGCGATCCCCAGACCCACTAAGGCAGTTGGTTAAACACAAAGAGCTGTGCACTTCTGTGTTCACCCTTTGCCAGGCCCTGAGATAATAAGGTTCTTTGTCTGGGCCTTGTTTGTTTTAACACAGGCCTGCTCCTTTACCACCCAGCTTAAGTCTTAGGCTCCACACTTCACCATGGCATTTTGCACGGCCCTCTCGGATACCGTCAAATCTTCCCAAACTCAAGAGCTGTTTCAAATGTTTTCTTTTGAGACAGGAGCTTGCTGAGTAGCTCCGGGCTAACTTCTAGTTCTGAATCCTCCTGCCTCCACCTCCCAAGGGTTGGGATCACAGAGGAGTGTCGCTTCGCCTGAGTAGAGTTTTTTAAATGTGAAGATGAGCGCACCTTGTCTTCCTCAACTTTTATCCCTTCTTTGGCACAAGCGCTTGAAAAGCACTGCTTTAGGTAGTAGCGCTAGGTACACTCTCTGTGTTTAAGTGTAGTATAAAGATTTGAAAATCGGCTCTAGAATGCGTTTGTCCCATAGTTTTGTACCAAAAAATAAGCAAACACAAAGCTTGCTTTCTTTTTTTGTAAAGATTTTTTTCCCCTCTTTTTGGAATTGTCTTTAGATTTATTTTATGTATATGAATGCTTTGTCTGTGCCCACAGAAGTCAGAAGAGGGGAACGGGATCCCCCCCTGAAACTGGACTTATCGATGGTTGTGAGCCACCATGTATGTGCAGGGAACTGAACCCAAATCCTCGCTAAGAGCGTTCTTTGCTCCT